AAAAATGACATCACATGGAAAAATTGAAAACGGACAGCTGTGCACACGATTCGGAAGTCAGCAACTTTTCTTTCGCGCTCTGAAAGTCTGGGGCGATCGCAAAGTTTGTTGCGGCTGAGCATGTTTTCGGCAGTTGTAGGAATCTGCCTATGGTGTGCGAATCTCACTTTGTGAGTTGTCGACACATGGTTGCTCAGTTTGTGTCCCCCCCCCATAGGGTTTGGGAGGGTGGGCCGAAAAATATGGAAGGTAGAAGAAAAGGTTTTTTAACCCTCCCTACCTCACCCTTGATATGTAAAATGTCACACGAAAGTAGATTCAGATGTGTTACCAAGGGAGTTTGTGGAATTGTTTGGTTTTAAAGGATGTTAAAATTTAGTTCAACAAGCAACGCATGTTGACGCAGGACAAGATTGAAGTTAAGATTTACTTCCGAGTTGCAAAAGTTTGATGGAAACTTTTGCACTGTTCTTTTAAAGATAGTGCTCTCACTTCGTGACAGCACTCATCTTATATAAGAACAAACTCGGAAGAATGATGAGACGAAGATGATGATGCATTAAAATGACGTCGTTGCATCATCCGTTTTGATATCCATATCAGGACGTATATTCGCCGAGAAGTATATATAAAGTTATATACTTATATATAAACGTAAAACGGAATCGATCCGTCGATACGCGTTGGTCGCCAAATAAAACGTCCTCGTGAAAAATAAAAATGACATCACATGGAAAAATTGAAAACGGACAGCTGTGCACACGATTCGGAAGTCAGCAACTTTTCTTTCGCGCTCTGAAAGTCTGGGGCGATCGCAAAGTTTGTTGCGGCTGAGCATGTTTTCGGCAGTTGTAGGAATCTGCCTATGGTGTGCGAATCTCACTTTGTGAGTTGTCGACACATGGTTGCTCAGTTTGTGTCCCCAGGTGTTGAAGAGCAACCTTGTATGGAGATCGATGCAACTCAAGGGCCAGTCGTTCCAAGGGGTAAGAGGCATCTAGAACTCCGCCGTTATCAAGGTCGTATTGACTTAGTGTGACTTCAAATTCTCCACGGGATGGAAGGTATACCGGCTTGGAGGAGCAAACGCGTTCCGACTAGGAAAAGCTGGGCCAATTGATCTCCAAGTCTGCCAGAATACGAGCTAAAACTTTCATTGGAACGGAAGGGCTATTCGATTTGATGGCTCTAACTCTCACAGCTTCATTGTCAATCCACATGATGACTCGACGGCCATGCAAAAGTTTACGTAAGCACCATCGGACTGATACACGAGCCCACATCTCAACTCAGGAAATGATCTGTTCTCATGCAACCCTTGTCCAAAGTTTGACCAAAGTTTTTGGGATCCTGATCGCGTAAGCTACTCTCATGGGGCCATCAACCACCACCGCTCCAGCAGTTGCGACCCCGTTTTCATATACACCATCAGTGAGAATCAAGACAGGCCGCGTAGTTACAGTAAGGGAATGTTCACAAAGTCGCCGGCTCTGCAACATGATCTTTGTTCATTATTTTGAGAACCCCTTGAGGCGCACTGCAAAGGTCAGAGGTGACCCCCAAAAGATCAAACGCTGCCGCAAATCCCAGGACCTTGTCTCCCTCTTTTGCATGTTCCCATCCAAGAAGATCCAAAATCGCGCTGAAAGCAGGTGTTAACACCTTGCACCCTTCGGTACACACTAACGTAGGGAAGTCATCGAAGTGGTGAGAGGTGATGCAGTGAAGGGTTTTCGAAATAACGAAACATATGGCTTGTGATACTCGAACGAAACCATAGACACTACCAGTGCATCCAACGGGAAGTGAAATGCTTTTGTAAAAACGCCAAGCCCCTTTCACGGGGAAAACAACAACCGCATGCACTTGATGTTCTGGCAGCACTGCAAGTTGTTTGTAAACCTTGCTCAAGTCAAAAGTCTTACCCAACCATTCCTAAGACTGCGCATCCAGCTGAGAGGATGCATGCATGATTTCAACTGCCATGGACGCTGCATAGTCTACTTCCTGCAACTGCAACTTAATGGTGAATGAGTAGGATGCATTGACAGAAACTTGCTTGGCATCATCAGTGACACGCACCTTGTTGTTTGATCTTTGGAGAAGAACGAACCTAGGATTGAGGGTCCAGTCATCTGAGCCCATGAGCACTATCATTTCGTCCTCAGTATATGGCCCCTGCAAGAGACCTCTGCTGACTTCGGACGCGGTGGCCTCCACCAAAGCTTCTTCCTCAGGAACGTCAAGACTTCGTGCGCTCATCATGAGGGCCTGGCGGCGCCACCTGGCCGACTCGCAGAGCTCACCCTCAATCATGCTAGCTGGAACCAAGTGTTTCAAGTAACCATTGGGTACGGCTAGAAGCCCCCACAAAGGGGAACCCCAAATTTCAAAAGGTTCACCACATCCCGGTCCCAATATTCCAGGTTCGACAAGAGGCGTTCAAAAAGAATAATGTTCTTTGTCTGAAAACATTTCCTCACGTCAGGGTGCATTGAGGCTTTCAATTCACCCCCTTCTGTTCTGAGCTCATCAACCATTTTCCTGGTCTTGAAAACGGCAGCCAATCTCTCTTTTGCCAGCTTGGTTGGGCAACTGCCGACCACTTTGTGTATGGCATCGCCTGTGATGGAGTGTAATACCGAGTCGTGGTCCATTGGATGTTTCCAACCACCATATTTGAAAGTTGTTCGGGCCGCTTTGTGGTGTGCTCCTCAGGCTGCTCAGTGTTCTCTGCCCCCTGTGTGGTTGGAGCAGCTAGTAACTTGTAAGCAGCGTCCGAAGAGGCACGTCCATGTAAACGTAAGTTTTATATTCGGGAAGGAAGATGTCGAACTGTTGAGCCCTAAGTTCAGTTTCAACAAGTCTTTGAGCCGCTGTCGCGCTTTAGGCTCGACGCCCATTGGGTTAGACCGCTGCAAAATGCAGCTGGCCATTCTCTGGCATAACAATGGTGTACTCAGCTTCGGCCGCTGTTGGAAAAGCTATGCCATGTTCAGTTCGAAAAGGTTGCCACGAAGAATGCACGTGATTTTCGTGCAACTTGCTTCCAATGAAGTAAACAAACCAGGTGTCGAAAGCAATTTGGTATTTTTATCCCTTGTGCTTCCTTGCGCACATGCATCAAAATAAACGCTTTCCAAATTTGCAAACCATGAAATGAGGCATGAATCCCGTGTCTCCTTGACCAACATTGCAAGTAAGGCCCATAGCCAGAACGTGTAGGATTTTCGGTAGAAAGCAAACATCCTATCGTCATGCAAACCCGCAACAAGTGAATGGCACATCGATACAGCTTGTTGGCGGAGTCAACCTTAGCTTGATCAGCTGCTCTAAGGTTTGGGAGGCCCATGAGGTGGCTGGCATCTCGCAACTGCGGTGGGTCCATGCGACCACCGAATTTCGCAAGCGTTGGTTCTCTCTTGCTCTTGAGCATTTTCCACACGGTAAGCCCATGTGAATGTGACACTGTCTGCAATGGTGCAACATTTGTTCCAAGAGCCGCACCTGATCTGAATTCGAAACATCTAGGGTGAAAACTTTGACCTTGGCGAATTGCAGCGTGATCAATCGGATAAACTTGAAAGCCCAGACACCTTAATGCGTCAGACAATCCTGCTGAACCACAACAAATTTCAAAGGTTGTAGCTTCCATCGTGAAACTTTTACTGCTGGGGTTTGGCGCGCGTCAGTGAGGGCATTCATTGCCCGGATGCAACTTATGACAATTTTTCTTCCAGCACATATGATATCCGACCATGCATCGCTTGCCCGGCTTGATCTTAGCTGTGCATTTTCCAATCTGCCATCGCTTGCAAAGTTGTTTGCCATCAACGTAAATCTCGCAGTCGTCGGGCACGGCAATGCCTGGCTTGCCCTTTCCCTTTGCTGACTTGCCTTTTCCATCAGATTGCTGGAAGCCTTTGCCCTTGCCCGTTGATGAAGACGGCTGATGTTGATCGTTCTTGTATCCTCCAAGACTCTGCAAAGGATTCAAATGTTGGAGAACTTCAGGGTGCTCCGCAAACTTGGTAAAGGAGACATCAAATGGTTTGTCTGCACCAGTCTTCGGCTGCAAGCTGCCGCGCGTATCATTTGAAACCTTTACCCAAAGCTCCTTGTCTGCATTGATGGCCTGCTCAACGCTGATGTGCCTATAGTTGGCAAGTGGTGCCACATTCATTTTCTCAAACAACTTTTGAGTCCACAGGTCCAAAACAGAGAATGAAGCGATGCCCGACAGATCGTATGCCAAAGATCTCCTGAGGAAGGCTTGACGCAACTTGTGCTCACCAGTAACGTTCACATCGTCCAGCCTTTGCTTTTTGCTGAGTCTCAGGCCACCTGTGTTGTCCAAGGCAAGTGCTGTGTCGACCTTGGAGTGCAGCGCTTCGTCTTGCCTTGAAGAACACTTTTGCAAATCAATGTACGTCACCACATTGTCCTCCAGCTGTTGACAAACCTTGTCAATCAGTGAGTGCGAAGGCTCGCACTGAGGTGTAAAACTGATGCCTATTAAGCGATTCTTCTGTTGATTGATTCTGTCCATTTTCTCTGCTAAAGGTAAAATACGTGCTTCGCTTGACTCTGATCTATCTGCTCTCGACTTCAAGTCCTCCAGTGAAAGTGCATGGGCTTCAAAGAAAAGCCTGCGAAATCTCGTGGTTGATGCCGCATCTGGAGCGGCCCCTAAAGCTGTCGTCAGGAAGGTTGTCAAGGCAGCATCATCTGACTGGCCAGGCTGAAACGTGCAGCAGTATGCGTAAGTTGCGTAACTGTTGATGCCACTAGCTTCCAAAGAATCAACATCCACTTGTGCAATCCCCAGTTCGACTGCACGGTTTTGAAACGCGACTTTTGAATCAATCGCCATCTTCCATCAGGAGCGGCAGGTATGCAAGATTCAAAAGGTCACCACAAAAGGTCCATCCTTTTATGTCGCACTACTGTTATGGTCCTATCCAAACCAAAAGGAAAACTGCAAAGTGCTAGCGTGGGATCATGAGGGAGCTTGCATGATGTTTCATGAGATCCGGTCATGCACCTGTTGCTTAGAGCCAGCGCAATGTGCATTCACATGGAGTGAGTTGAGCCATCTGGTTCAGGCAGCCTCTGCCGCATGATAACATGCTAGGCATTGGGTTACCCTAATGAGAGATTGATGCACTCATGACTCAAAAGTGATACACTTGCAGCTTGCTCACGGTGTGATGCGGTCAATGAAATCACGAGTCCCGTGGTGACACATTGTAAGAAACTTTCAACGCAATTCCTGTCACTTTCAAACTGCAACATGTGAGTGAAATAAAACTGATTGGATTTTTGCACCTCATGTCGGGCTTGAAACGTCATCCGTGGCCAGCTGCTCTGTAGGAGTGCGAACAATTGGCACATATCACCGCCTCTGTCGTATTCAGATCTTCACGCGATGCCTTTCTGAAAGAGGCTGATGGGTGTCTACCACACCAAAACTTCTCGTCCTCGGAAACAAGCAGATGAATCACCTGTGAATTGGTGTTGATCAGGCACAAATCGGCCTCCATGTTGTCCGCATCAAGTCTTTTGAAATGAGGCTTCTGCGATACACTATCATGTTCACCATCTGACGATGCAATTGAGGACGCATCCGAGTCTGATGATGATTCACTGCTGTCATCAGCACTTTCATTCTCCAAAATTGCATTGTAAGCCAGCTGGAAAAGCCGATCCACTCTTGTCGCGTCCGGGTCAAATTGTCCATTTCTGATCTTGGCAAACATCTGGTTCAGCTTGTGGCACAACTTAATTTGATTGTCCCTCGAATAGATCATAGAGGACCGATACAAGGAGTGCACATGATGACCCAGCGCAAGTTGCTCGTCTGCCGTGAAAATTGTACTCTTGGCCGCCCAACTAAGTAAGGTGGCCTTGAGGCCATGCACTGTCAGCTTGATCGCACGCTCAGGCCCAACATGCGGTTCAAGAAGCTCACGCAACCAGCCCGTCGCTTCAGCAGTTGACATCCTTGAATCCACCCAGCAATGAGCGCTCTCAGACCAGGAGTTCAAGAAATGATTCCAGCTTTCTGCATGAGATTCCTGTCTAGCTTCAACCCAGCTGCGACCCCAAAATTCATCTAGTGTAATCCTTCCCAGGGCAGTGAAAGGCAACAGTTCCATTTGCTGCTCCTTCCCTCTGGAAGATTTGTGTTTCGATGTTAGGGCCTCCAGCAGGGAGATGTCACCAGCCATTGACGATTCCAATGCAACAACATACATCGAGTCATGCCAACGTGCTGCAGCTGCAAAACTGAAAAGCAAGTGTCCTGCAACGACCCTCCGATGAGATTCAGGATCGTTCACGCATATTTGCTCAAGCTCTGAAACTTCGTTGACCGTCAGAGTTTCTGCAGGCTTTCTGATTCTCTTTGTCATGAAAAAGGAATGGGCAGCGCCTGTAACTCTAGAACTGAGTACATCTTGCAACCGTACCTGAGTGAAGCCCAACAAGTTGTCAGCAAACCTCAACGCTTCTACCAGTTGTGATGGGGTGGTCGAGCCTGCTCCAACATCCCTCAAATGACATATGTACTTGTACAGCATCATCTCGCTTTGAGAAAAAGGGGACCCTGCACGTTGTGATTGAAGCCAGCATGAAAACCTCCACAGTGAATTGGACCTTTTCAAAACTGTTCCAGTAGCTTTTGGTGCAAAGACATCCATGAATATCTGAGACAGCTCATCGTTGGGACATAAGGTGCCAGCAAAACTCCTCAATGACTGACCTAAACGCGTGCAGTCCAAGTCCAGCAGAACCATCGTCTTGAACCTTGACAAAGCCAAGTGCCTAAAGTCATCTTGCGATGCCACCAGTCTGGACGCTCGGATGCGTTGCACAGTTAACTCAGTCTGCTGAACTGGCTTTGGAATTGAACTACTGGACGATGAGGCAACAATATGGTCTGAGATCCCAACCATGGTCATCTTGTTTTGACGATGCAGTCTTTCCCAAAATGGCTTCTGCTTTGAAAACAAACCAGCCAAAGGACCCATCTGCCATGGTTGTTTAATGTCAGCAATGACCTTGTGAACCTGTTTTGATGCCATTTCATCTGCAGTACGCTTGATGGACATGCTAACTGATGACAATTTGTTTGAAGGTGAAGCTACTGACTTGGGTGTCGGACGCATAAAAATGGGCACCCGACGGTCTGAATCTTCAGGAGCTGATCCCCCTTCTGTAGCGGCAGCATCATCACAGTCATCCATTGGCAATTCCAAAAAGTCCAAAGAATCAACATCACCCATAGGTTCCCAGCCATTGTTCGATTGTCGACAACTCGATGGAGAATGTTCTGAAACATCTGCATGCAAAACTGGGGCGCCAGCGGCAGCGGCACTGCTTTGCCAACGCTCTCTGAACCCTTTGTATTCTACAACCATTACAGCAAAAGTTGTGATATGATTAGTCCCAGCTATGGTAGTGACATATGTATCTTGTGCGACGCCCTTCTGAAGTGCACCACTGATGAATGCCAGCCACACCACAACCAAAACAACAGCCACCTGGCGCAGGCTCCAGCTGTAGGTTCCCAACCTCTTGATCTTGGCCGTCGTGTTGGGCTTGTCCAGCCGGGGCCACAAGGACGCCGAGGCGGTGTGCAAGTTCTTGCAAAATCACAACCAGGAGAGAAAAGATGCCGTAGTCAGATTAGAAACTTGCTGTGCATCCATCAACCCCTGTTTGCCGAAAAATATGGAAGGTAGAAGAAAAGGTTTTTTAACCCTCCCTACCTCACCCTTGATATGTAAAATGTCACACGAAAGTAGATTCAGATGTGTTACCAAGGGAGTTTGTGGAATTGTTTGGTTTTAAAGGATGTTAAAATTTAGTTCAACAAGCAACGCATGTTGACGCAGGACAAGATTGAAGTTAAGATTTACTTCCGAGTTGCAAAAGTTTGATGGAAACTTTTGCACTGTTCTTTTAAAGATAGTGCTCTCACTTCGTGACAGCACTCTTAGATCATAGCATTGTGGAAGGCAAGGAGGGGAAATTTTAATAAAGAGTTAGAATTTAGATCATGGCACTGTGGAAGGCAAGAAGGGGGTGGGGGAGGAAGTGTAAATAAAGAGTTGGAATTTAGATCATGGCATTGTGGAAGGCAAGCGAATTAGATTTTAGATCATGCCTTCGACGAACGTACCTTAAGGCGGCTTCGAAGCCTTCGAAGGTGCCTTAAGGGGTCTTCGCCGAAGACTTCGAAGGTACCTCAAGCCTTTGCCGAAGGGGGGACGGAGGGGGAGGGCGGGGGGGGTGAACGAGGAACCGAAGCCCTTAAGCTACCTTAAGAGGGCCTTTAGGTACCTTAAGCGGGCTTCGAAGGCTTCGAAGGTATTAAGGGGGCTTCGAAGCCTTCGAAGGTACCTTAAGGGTGCTTCGACGAAGGGAACCTTGAGTCTTTGCCGAAGGGGGGGACGGGGGGGGAGGGGGGGGCTGAACGAGGAACCGAAGCCCCCTTAAGGTGGCTTCGAAGGCTTCGAAGGTATCTTAAGGGGGCTTCGAAGCCTTCGAAGGTACCTTAAGGAGGCTTCGACGAAGGTACCTTAAGGGGTCTTCGCCGAAGACTTCGAAGGTATCTTAAGCGCGCTTGGACGAATTCTTCGAAGCCCCCTTAAGGTGCCTTCGAAGCCTTCGAAGCTCCCTTAAGGTACCTTAAGGTGGCTTCGAACGTTGAAGCCTTGGCTAAAGCCTTTGAAGGTACCTTAAGGGAGCTTCGAAGGCTTCGCAGGCACCTTAAGGGGGCTTCGAAGCCTTCCTCAACGGACCTTCAAATTCAATTTCTCAAGCTCCCCCCTTAAGGTACCTTCCTGAAGGGCCTCTCACCGACTGCCTGGTAAAGACTCTCCCATTGTAATCAAGACCTTGCCGTTGAATCCCGGCAGGGGCCACTGCGATCAAGAGCTTGCAGTTGAGGTCCTGGGGGGACCATGGCGGTCAAGAATTTGCAGTTGAGGTCCGGCGGGGACCACTGCGATTATGTAAGCCTTTCTCTGAATAGGATACTCCTAAATCAGTTGGCGAACCATCATTTTACAGAAACATCAGAAACGAATATGCCATAATTGGCGAATATTTACACTTTCGTCGGGGGACGCGCTTGACTTCTTCTTCCCCCCACACCTGGTGCGCAACATGCGCAGCATGCGCAGCACCTCACTCCCAGCAAAAAACAAGTTGGGGTTAGATGACTGCATCATTCAGGAAGGCAGGTCAAGGATGACCGATAAACCTTTTTTTCCGTCCAACGCCGTATGGCTTCCGCCAGGTCGTTCAACATGTTTCCAAGCATGTTGCATATGGGATTAATTAATTAATTCACGCAGGGGCCGAAACTGTAGTGGCCGCAAAAGTAAACTGGTAGAGGACCGATACATAGTCCTATTCCCTTGTCACGTTCATCAGAGAACAAGAAGCGAAGCACAAAGAACCAAAAGCAACAACAACACCAAAAACAAAAACAAACAAAAACAACACACACAAAAAGCAAACAACCACACAACCACAAAGCAGTGACGTGACAGTTACCAGTTTATGGGTGAAAAAGATCTATTGAGGCAAGAGGTGATAGCTTAGTATCATCTCGGCGCATGCAGATGACAACTTATGTGCCATGTTGACGCAGGCCCATAAAACAAAACAACAACAGGACCAACCACAAAATCACCAGCCACTTCAGAGGGTGCAGGAAGCAACAAAGCTCAATGCGGAAACCAGGGATCCCCCCAGCCAGGATCCCCGAGATCACAAAGAGCAGCCTTCACGGCATGACATTCACCCTGACACTTTGAAGCAAACACCGACAAATTTTTTTGTGGCCGGCGCCATTGTCTTTCGACTGGTCACCACAGAAGCAAACACCGACAAAGCCCGGTCGCAACGAAAGTGGTGAGAAAAACTACCGCAGTGAAACAGGAGAGTGAAACATGATCTAAGGTGAAAATGACAGCGAGGCTGCGGCACTCAGGGCACACTTAGGCACCACTGTGCTAGTGCTCTTGCAATTCGTCTTCATGGTATGGGAGATTGTACTCGTCATCAGTGCGTGGTGATATCTGTGCATTGAGTTCTTCTGATGATTTTTTTTTCCGTCCAACGCCGTATGGCTTTCGCCAGGTCGTTCAACATGTGTCCAATCATGTTGCATGTGAGATTAATTAATTAATTCACGCAGGGGCCAAGCTGTAGGGCCGCAACAGGCAACTGGTAGAGGACCGATACATAGTCCTATTCCCTGGTCACGTTCAAAAGAACAAAACCGAAACACAAAGAACCAAAAGCAAAAACAACACAAAAAACAAGCACAAACAAAAACAAACCACACAAAACACAAACAAGCAAACAAACCAAAAAACACACAACCACACGGAAGTGACGTGTCGGGTTCCAGTCATGGGTGAAAAAGATCTGTTGAGGCAAGAGGTGATAGCTTAGTATCATCTCAGCGCATGCAGATGACAACTTATGTGTCATGTTACGCAGGCCCATAATACAAGACAACAACGAAACAACCACGAAAACACCATGGGCCACTTGAAGGGTGCAGGAAGCAACAAAGCTCAATGCGGAAACCAGGGATCCCCCCAGCCAGGATCCCCGAGATCACAAAGAGCAGCCTTCACGGCATGACATTCACCCTGACACTTTGAAGCAAACACCGACAACGCCGGGTCACAACAAAGTGGTGAGAAAAAACTACCGCAGTGAAACATGAGAGTGAAACATGATCTAAGGTGAAAAAGACGTCGAGGCTACGGCACTCAGGGCACACTCAGAGTCCGCTCAGATCTGCTTTTCCAATCATCATACTGCATCAAAATTGGTTCCGGTAGGCACCATTGTGCTAGTGCTCTTGCAACTCGTCTTCATGGTATGGGAGATTGTACTCGTCATCGGTGCGTGGTGATATCTGTGCATTGAGTTCTTCGGACGAGGTGCTGGCTCCCTTGGCTGTATGGTGAAGCTGTAGTAAGGCTTTCTGTGCCTGGGTTACTTCGTAACAGGCAGATATGGTACAGCTATCCAAGATACAGCCAATTTAACGGAGTTGGCGTATAGCCGCCTCAAGGTCATTCACCCTCTGGGATGGGATGTTTTGGATTCCTTGA